GCTGCTAACAACTAATGCTACTCCTCCTGGCGATATTAACACATTTTTGCTAATCAAACTGTAGCCTTATAAGGAAAGAAGTAGGCTTCGTCTCGGCAGGTTAATTAGTGCCACGCTGTCAAAAAACAATACAGCCGGTGGGGCTGCCCTCTGTGAAAAAAAACTGTCTCTTTATTACATGTACACAAACGCTAAAGGATACTGGGAAGAAATGTGCGTGTTCAGCTCCATTAAACAGAGAAGGTATCTCTCCTAGGACACGATAAACACTCTCATACATTATCCCATCTGTATCATACAGTCTGCCACGGCATCATTTTTAATACATGCACTATTGACTTGTTATGTCCCAATCTGCAACTTAGTCTCGTCCCCGCACTAAGTCACACAGCGTTCACAGTGCAGCCAACATCAAAGCAATATGCCTGGGAGATGCCTCTGTGTTCATTAACCAATTCAGAGCTACATGGCTCAGCACTGAATTATTAACGTGCTCCTTGTGCCTCACAGATACAGAGCAGAGGGCCATTCACAGCTGCACAACACACCCACGCTCCGCTGTAGATGCCTGTAAATCTCCAGTTAACCCTGAAAACTCATTAAAAAGTATATTAAAAACGCATAGACCAGAAAATACCATCACAAGATCGATGATAGCAGTATAGACAAGGAAAGTGTACGATAAAACAGACTATAAAATACTATTTATAAACTTAAAAAAAATAAAATACTGAAATTAAAGATGTGTTTAAGAGTGCATGACAAGAGCAAAAAATGAAAGTGCTGGATAACAGCAAGGGTTAGGAGTGAAGAACTTGGAAATGTCATGAATACACATGAGTTACACACAACCTGATTAAAGCCAAAAGTCAGCATGACTTCAATTATTGTTCGTACACAGGTTCCGTGCTACAGGACATTAATAATGAATATCTGCAAACATTACTCTCTATATTATTATTACCCATTATCACGATTTCCCTCCGGAATTGAACCTCAAGAGAAGCAGCAACTGTGAAACATAGAATAATTGCAAACTTCAATTAACACCACATGTCTTATTAAAATGTGTGTACACACCCAGTATCGCTACATGTTGAAGTTGAAAGTATCTATATTTACCACAGCTTCAAATCGACTCAGATAAGGCAATGATGCTACATTCACCTGTTTGTAACTTACGAATGATGCATCACTTGTATATAGACTCTTATGGCACTACTTCTATTCTATTTTATTGTATTTACTTGCACTATTTTACCTGTTTTATTGTGTTGCACTGTTGGAGGAGCCTGGGACATAAGATTTTCATCGACATAACTACACTGTAGCTATGTACGAATGGAATAAAAGCCTTGAATCTTGAATTGAATCTTGAGTCTACTGCGCAAGCTAGCGTGTCTCACATTCATGCGGCTATGTGACTAGCAGTATCTAGATCAGGGCGAATCAACCCCCGACCCAAAGACCACAGAACTCTTGGTACCTGGCCACAACGACACAATATGATACAACAAAAGAGTAATACGTATACAACTTTGTGGACTTGAACCGTTTTTGTTGCAGATCTTTCTTTGTGATACCTCTCCCTACTACCTCTTGTAAAATGCCCAACAAAAGGATACACATTTTTTACGCAGTTAACAAGTCTGTCATCAAGTGCTGAGTTACTTGATCGTTCTGCTTCACACACGATGCATACCGCTATTTTATTGTCTTTTTCGGACACTTAAAATACTGCCAGACCAGTGAAGCCATTTTGGCGAGCTTGTTTTGCCGCGCACAGAGAAAAGTGTCATGTATTTTACGTCATGCGATCGGCTCTCGCGATCGGCATTTTTAGAGAGCACCGATCGATCGGCAGAGAGTGAGTATCGGCCGATATCGATCGATCGGAGCATCCCTAATTTAATTATGATAAAACACATTTATAACCTCAACACTTTTTATTTGTCTAAATGTTTGCGTGTTAAATGTATGCAAATGATGGTCCCCTCATAAAATCCCTTAATGGAAGTATGAGTCCTTTACAAAGCCTAGATGACGATGCCAATCTTTCTATAGATCTGTAAATGTATTAAAGTTGTAGGGTGCAGGGATGCTGCAAAATCCTTATTTACAGCTCACCATCGAGTAAACTATTGTGTATTATGTAATGGGCAGTGAATGCAGAGGAGTTATTTTGGACACCGTAAGCAGGAGCTTTTTTGAAGGAGGTAGGAAGAAAAAGGGCCTGAGGTGTGTGTTTTAATTTACACACATTTGACCTACTTACAGCCTAACCTTTTTTCCCAGCCCTCCTTGATGTTTGTTGTCTGCTGTTGCCCTAAATTCCCGCTTGATGAGATCCTAAGAGGGTTTGTTTTCATGAGATTTCCCGGAGATGGGAGAGCCCTCTCTCTCTTCAAGGTGACTTGAAGCTCCCCACAGAAAATCCCTTTAATTTCCTCTTTCCTTGATCTCACTTTCTCTCGAATGCCTCTGCCCACACACACACAAATGCTGACGGCAGGCTGGACCTTTGTAGAGCCAGCTCTGCTAATCTTTTTTGATTCTCCTCTTTACGTTGTGTTTCCTTCTCTATTCCCCTGTTTACTAAATCAGTCCCTACACACACACACACACACACACACACACACACACACACACACAGTCTTTCATCGACTTTCTCTCCGCCAATTTTTCCTCACTTTAGCTTTTCTCTCATCTTCCTNATAACGAAAAGGAACCTTAGTCGACATCAAAAAAGTCTTCCGTCCACACGCAGCGTCTCCAGCGGTCTCGTGTGGACGGACACTTTTCTTGAGCCGATACCGTGTGGACGGAAGACTTTTTTGATGTCGACTAAGGTTCCTTTTCGTTATCGTATCCGTGTAAACGTGGCCTGAAGCTAAAGACCTCTGTGTTGAAATAAAGGAGATGTTTTGGAGAACAAACTCACTCCTAAACCCTCCTTGGATCATAAATACGAGAACAAATCATTATTCTGCTCCAGGGCTGTAACTAACTTTACTTTCATTAGCTTTTATGCTGCCAAATAGTTTCTAGATTAGTCAATGGATCGTTTGGCTTATAAAACTTCACTCCAAGGTGATACAATATAAATGTCTTGCTCTGTCAGTCCAAAGATATTCCCTTGAAAAAGATACAAAAGAGAGAGAACAGGATACCTCAATATTTGAGTTGCTGAAAACTGCATTTTTGCGCTTTTTGCAAGATAAAAATCTAGAAATAGGTGATTATTTTTCTGTCGATCAACTAATCGATGAGTTTACTCACTACTACTTCTTCACTTCTGTTGAACCAATAGCATTCTTGCTCACTAATATTTCTGCTATTTATCTTAACGGTTAATTTTTTTTTTTTTAGCATTTTGTCAATGCCATTTATATTGACAGAATAGATACAGTACATGCAGAGAGAGTATGACATGCAGAAACAGCCCACCTGGAATTTCACTGTGACCACATGGCATGCATCCTAACCACTAGTCCTCTGGGACCCCGTAAAGCAGATTTCACCCCCTTTTTACCAAATAAAATCCTGTATAAGAATACTAAATTGTGCGGCTTTTCATTTAGTCAACCATCGTTCTGTCTCACGGTGATCAAATGTCAAACAGCTGGATGTCTGGGCATCTGTTCGCTTCCCAGAAATTGAAGTTCATATCCAGTTTTGTTTACGTCAACCAAGAAATGCTATTCTCTTTACACAAGCTCCCTGTTGCTGCTGGGGAGTCCTGTGGGTCTAATTTATGTTTGCACGCAGCTGTTCAAAACCTACAGCTCCTTTTCTCATATTAAAACACCTTGTTTTCGCAGGGCATTTTCACCTTTATTGGATTGTTGATAGAGAAGAGGCAGAGTAGAAACTAGGGGAAGAGATGGGAGGGGGGCACAACAAAGGTCCTGGCTGGAATCAAACCAACAATTCTGTTTATGGGATTTTACCATACAATAGAGTCCATATTAAAACCCCATCACCTGTGTTTTGACCTCTTTTTAGTCGGTTATAGTCCAAGGTAAACTATTAATCTGTTCGCTTTTGGACTTTTGCTGCAGTCTTTATACAGGCTGGCAGAGTTTCAAGTGAACATCTGGATTGTGTTAGAAAGATCAGACAGGGTTGGTAATAGTAACACTATGAACTCATTCTTGTTCAAAACAGATTGTATCCAGAGCTGACAGGTGTTTCCAGCTTTGATTTGAACTACTTGAATTGAATTCAAATGTTACTTATAGAAATATAATTATAACATTTTGTGTTTTTCAATTGGTACATTTGGGTAAATTAGACGAATGGATGAATCACATCTCTGTTTATAATAATGTTTTCTTAACTTCTCTGCTTTCAAAGCTACCCCGACAGTGGTGTTATCCAGGAGGCCATGACTCTTTGGTATCCCTTACAATGTTGGTGCCATCATTTGACAATTTGTTTGTATTCAATTAAACGCCCTAACATCAACACTGAGCTGTCTGTGATTGAAGCACTCCTGTATCTTCATGTTTAAAATCTATATTAGCATATAGTCTACAACTTTTGTTTGTATTGAAATCAGGGCCAAAATGACTTGATCAGGATATGCCAATTTCTTGCAAATTATTTGGAAGAATTCAAATTTAGGTTGGATTTGTTTTCCATTAGCAAAGAATCTCCATGATGATGCTGTTAAAGCCTTCACTGGCTTTCAGCAGCTTCCCTCTGTTCACTTCCCATCAGACAAGATGGAAGAACCCGCCATGGTGACTCACTGTAACACTGATGCAGGTGTTGTAAGGGTTGCCAGGTCATTCAATTGTCCTGTTTTTGTCATTTAGCAAACAGATTGAAGGACTCACCTCTTCTCTATGAGATTTAAAGAAGAAACCATGAATTGCCAGCATCCTTATCTCACTATTCGTGGCCTTTCTGCTTTCCCCTCTCACATTCCAGCAACCACACGACCTGTTAACTCCTCAATGACCTCCGAGGTTTCTGTACTGACGGCTCTTTTTCCCCCTCTTTGTCCGCAGAGAGAATCATCCCTTAGAGTCGGACCTGGAGTGGAGAAGACCAATTGTGGCCTGAACAAAGACAGACGGAGAGAACTGTAAGTAAACACTGCAACTGTGTGAACCCCTCTCTGGGGTCAGGAAGTTTCTGTGTGTGTAACTCCTGCTGCATGAAGTGCTTATCGCATTGGTTTACACACAGGAATGGTGCGATGTGTGGTTGTTCTGAAAGGCTCAGAAAAAACATTTTGTTTTTTGTAGATGCCAAAGAATCCATTTAAATAGTTTTTCGTAGTATCATAATGTATCTGAACCTTTCTTTGGGTGTTTGGGTCAGAATATAAAGCAGGTGGCTATTCATAGCTAAAACAACCATGTGTAAGGCTCCTTGCAATCATATTTGTATTCTTCAGATCTCCGGCTTATGTATCTCTCTTTGTCCGCATTTTGTTCACACACACTTTGTTTTCAGAAATTAAATCATGGAAGACAAACGGTGAACAAAACAAACAAGGATAATAAACTTCCACAGGTCGCTTTTTGCCAATTTATGGACAACATTAAAGTTTCACATTAGCAATCTGTTACGAAGAAAGTTATATCATGTCGGTGTTTTTTGTTAGGTGTCGTCAACAGCTGATGGGATGTAAGCTTGAACCCAGCTGTTTCCTAGCAACACATTTCCCATGTAGGGGTCTGTTATCAAAAACCTCTTATTCCCACTCCACCGCAGCTTCCTCCATAGATAAGTGCTCAACCTAAAGGAGGCACTGCTTTAATGATACCAAAGAAAGTGCTTTACAGAAAGGGATCAAAATCATAACAAACGGTTTGATAAGAAAACCAAAGAACAGTCAGCACCAGAAATGAAGTAAAGTTAAGAGTATGACGGCACTAGATTAACAATGGGGGCACATAATGAGTTTTACATTAGTGTAAGTATCTTACAAATGCTCTTAGTCTTTTTCATCTCTTTTGGTGAATAAAAGGGAGAGAAACTCACGGATGTTAGCTAGAGCTGTTCAATTAATCGTATTTTAATCGCTATTACAATTATGGCTTGCAACGATTACAAAAACAACTAAATCGAAATAAAACGATTATTTTTTTATTATTATTATTAGTTTCCTTTTTTTTTTTTTTTTTTTCAGTTGAATTATACTTAAAGTTCAGAGTAATCAACTGTTAAAAACATACTGTTCACATTTTTTTCTCTCCAATAAAAGGATGTTTTCAAAGTCAATGAATAATCGCATTTAATAATCGCAATTACAATTATTGACCCAAATAATCGAGATTATGATTTTTGCCATAATCGAGCAGCCCTAATGTTAGCCTTTGCAGACCATTTACATGCACAAAAACCTACATAACACACAGGGGAAGGGAAGTATAACGCCTATAATCGCTACTCTTTTGAAGATGTGTAAGCCATTAGTTATCTGATGAAACAGGGAAAAAAGGTGCCTCTGAGATCAAGGAGGACAAGTGAATGATGGCTGTAGAGGATGTGTGTGAGGCCCCGCCCTGTGTTTCATTGTCAGCGCTCAGACAGGAAGCAGACCTTTCACACTCGCGCACGAGACACTGTGGAAGTTGTTAGAGTTGTTGTGAACAAACAGGAGGTGAATTCACTCGGAGGCAACCTAAGTGCGTGTTCGCACTTTTTGGAAGTGTGTGTGGAAGCTGAAAAGGCATGTGAATATCAAATGAAGCATAATAAACTGCCTTTTGTTCTTTAATGTTATGTTAATTCATTGAAAATGTCAGAGCCTTTTGTATCAGCAAACCGTTCTACTATCAAATGTGTATCTTTTCTATAGAACATCTAACATGTGTTTTTTTAAAGCACAATTACAGTGGGGAGAAAAAGCATACAGTTAATGTGTTGCTGGTGTATTCAGTGCTCATTGCTGTAAGGGGGGTTCTTCCTTTTTAAAGCCATGAGTGTGGTGCAAGTCGTGAATTATTCATCCCGGCACGCGTGAGTGAATGAAAGGTAAACTGATAGCACAGAGCAGCGCCTTGCTTGGTCTCTGCTGCATTTTTAAAGTGCGTACTGGCACTCAAATATCAAAATGTTAACATCGTCTTTCCCATAAAACTGTTACCCTGGTCTCTGGGACCGGATGAAGGACATCTGATATGGGGTTCTGAATAATGCAGGATGATGGCTTGGGAAAAAATTGTCATCTAAGACCAAGTTCAGTTTCCCTTTGTTATCCCAATGCCATCTCCTTGTGCTCAGGAAAATGATTAATGTGTCCAGTAATTATATGGAAGAAATGACACACAGTTCTTGAGAAAAAGGATCTTGAAACCAAAATACTTTGATATGTGATCATTGAAGTGTGCGTGCTTCTGCTTGTTACATTTCCTGGAATAGTTATTTCGTCTTAGTGAACATGAAGGAATAGAAGGATAGTGAATTTCAGCAGATAGGCAGCTGGCTGTAGTTTCCCTGAAGGAAGAATTGCACTGCTTTCATGAAAAGGTCTTTTCTAAAATTTGAATTTGAAACTGCTTCCTAAGCAGTCTGTTTGAATGGCTGAGATTTAGCCCTCCTCTGTGTCACTCCCTAATCAGACCCACACCTCTCACCCACTCCTTCTCTGTAAATAATTCAGAACAGCCTTTTGCCTGCAGAGAACAGCGTACTCACAATTGATAATGGGAGGATAGCAGTTAAAAAAACGCTGCCGATGTACATTTCAGAAGTGTGGAAAGTTCTGCTTTTTAAGTACAGTAATTCAATTCAGACACATTTTTCCAGTGACTAACTTTAAGTCTATCAATGCACATCTGTCTGTAAGTAGATGAAAAGTGAATGAGGTGCCATGTATATCTTCTTAAAAAACATCAAATTATATACACTAAAGAAGAACAAGTATTCCCAATGTGAGACTGGGTCAGTGTTTGATTAGGAGGCAGGACCTCGTGGAAGTAGTTACCGGCCATGTATTGTTATCTGGCTCATACTGCAAGTTAAAGTGAATATCATTTTAAGGAAGTCCACTTTATGATGTGTTGACGGATACAGAAGATGAGTATTAAGTGATTAACATCCTCCAGTAACACTTTTTTCCGGGATGTTTTCTAGTGGTTGATCGGGCATTGGGTCTATAATAATTTGTATTTGTATTTTTTTTTGTCACGGCTTTGAGTCCGATCTGTGTTGTGTTGTAAAATGCTGTGTCATCTTTGAGGGGTGAGGTTAACACTTTCTCATTCATGCTTTCAGGATCTGTAGGAAACAGGAAATCCTACTTTGTTCTAGTGTTTGGGAGACAGGAAGTTGTGGCTTTTGTGACTGGACCTCGTTTTGCTTTGGCATGTTGCCCAGAGATGAATTCTGACCAAGGACAAATTCATTTGTCTGTGTATTTTTCTGACACTATTCAATGTATAGGTTATCATTCAATTGTGTTAAGATGTATGTATACAATGTCACCGCTTCCTAGATTCAACCAAAGATAAGAAAAGATGATAGGGAAACATTTATAGTCTATAGTCTCCGAGAAATAATCCACAATCTGCCTTTTCTCCAGCAGAGTGCACCAGAGGAAATGGTCTGTCTGCAAACTCCGTAATATACTGAGTTCATATTGAGTTTTTCTTGTGTTGTCTTAATGACACACAGTTTGTGTCAGTGTTTTGATATTGAACCCTTTTAACAGAAACACAGACAGTTGGCCTTTTAGATGAAAGGATGCTAACTTTGAGATGAGCCGTGAGGGTTTGAGAAACTATCTAATTTCCCTTTTTCCTTTCAGTGTGTCACAATTTGGGAGCTTAATGATAATTGAGGACGTAATATACAAGCCCACTTAAATGTATCAACCACTAATTGGTTTGAAGAGATTAATGGCGCCATTTGCCACTTGATTAGCCACTGGAATAATTTGTCTACAAATTTGCTTTCAAAGTGTGTTTCTCATCACTACAGATCTGGTCAGTGTTGTGTTGGGTGAATAATTTACCTTTGTGAAGTTTGTGGTTGTTTTAGTTTCTAGTGTTTCAGACTCTAAGCTTACACAGTGGTTACAGCGGTCTACCGTAACGTCTCATTAGTGGCTTCATTAGTCTTAAGTACCGGCATTAGTCTTAAGCATCGGCAGCAACATTGGCTTTATACAGCGAAGGATCATGATTTTAAAATGTTAAATCAAGCATATAGAGGCAGGTAAACCATATATATGTTTCCAAAAAATAAGAAAACAATTGGCTTTCAAAGGAATACTTTACATAGTTGCATGTTACAATAAGAAAGTATCCGGTTATGTTACCCTAATGCGCAAGTTTTGTTTAGTATTTAGAGATTGGCAACTTCAACTACATAGGTTATTTAAAAAAGATTTAAGATATTGTTATGATTACAATTCACTAGTTTCTTCCTTTGGTTGGTTACCAGTAAGGATAAGTATATTCTCTTTAGACACAAAAGTTTAGTTTGAATAGATTTCAGTTGATCACTAGCTCTTACACAATGTCATATGAAACCTACCTTTCTGTTCCATTTAAAAACACAACAGCAGAAAATAGTTGAGACTAGATTTAGAGGAGGATATTAAAAAAGTGTAAGGTTACTGCGTTGGTCTTTGCTCTCTGTCTTATTGAAAACGTAGTGCCTTTAGCCCTGCTTAGCTCCACAGTGAAACATAAATACATATACATAAATATTTTAATACCATCTTCTTTTCTCACTTCAGACTCCATCATATCGAATTTCCCTACAATTATTGACTGTCTGTAGTGTTCATATAGACCTTTGACGCACTGAGAGACAGTTTTAATGGTTACCAGTCACTTGATACACTTTTCTTTTCAACAGTTGGGGAAGAAACGCTAAATGCAAACGAAAATATTCTTTCTTGTCATTGGTCTTTTTCAATTTGAAATGTGTGTTTAACCTGTTGAAAAACGCATCATCTGCAGGAAACAGCGCCTGAGGGCTTCTTAATATTTAATAAACTATGAATGTTTCACATCCATGTAACGGGAAGAAACTCAGCTAACTGATGATATGAACCATTTTTAGCAAAAAAAAAACACAAGACTAACGCTGAGCCTCTGAATTAGCCCTGAGAGAAAAAATGCT